TTAGTAAGTTAATCATTGATATCATGTTTAATTTTTATTGTTTATATGGCCAACACTTGAAGGTTCTTATTACGTACATGGGTGCATATATATAATTATATTTTGAGGTTTTTACATGTATGTATGCATATGTGTGTGTTTGTTTGTGTGCGAGTGTGCGTGCGTGAGTGTGTGCGTGTGTGTGTGTGTGTATGTAGCTGAGTGTTAACCTTGACCAGACTTTAAGCATCATAGTTCGGATTGTAATATTAGGATTCGGAATTTTTTAATTTGAGCTTGAAGGAATCCGCAAACATACGATCGTAAACTAACGATCCTAGAAATTTTTTGTTGTTAAAATCGTTTGAAACAGGCGGGTCGAATGACGTAAGCTGCTAGCGTAAACTGTTCTTACTTTTCACAAGTCTGAAAACACCTTTACACTGGTCAATGGCAATATGGATGTAATAGAATGTAAAGATCTGTAAAGATCTGCAAAATGTCATCTTACTAAACCAAATAACACACACACCCATTTGATTATATATACATATAATATATACATGTGTGTGTGCGTGCGTGTGCTTGAGTATGTTTAAGCATGTCTTGTTAGAGATGCACCGAATAGTGAATTTCTAATAGTCGAATTTAAATATTTAAAAAAAATGAATTGTTGATCAACTATTTGACCGAAAGCCGAATACCAAATCTTCACAATTTACAAAAAAATTATGTTTTAAAGTGAAAAAACAATTTTACTGAAAAAAGCAGTAGGCGATTGATGTCTTTTCAACAATTCTTTATCGAGATAATATTCAACCTCTTTGTCAAGTCATATGTTCTAACAGCTATGATAGCCAAAATAAATTTCCAGCTTATAATAAATCAACAATTTTTCTTCTGGAATCAAAAAACAAGTGGTGGCCAAACGGATTTCACACTATTCGGCTTTTAAAAACGGTCGAATGTCAAATTTTGACCGGATGGTGCTCTTGAAATATTTTTATACAAACTACAACTTATAGAGAAAAAAGCAAGTTAATGACAGCATCTGAAAATACAAATAAATACATACAAAAATAATTATAGATAATTACGTTTATAATTATATATAATTGTATGAAGTTATATACCTACAATGTGCTTACGTATTAAATCGGTTAATTATTATAAGGCTGAGAAGTGCAACGTTTATAATTATATATAATTGTATGAAGTTATATACCTACAACGTGCTTACGTATTAAATCGGTTAATTATTATAAGGCTGAGAAGTGCAATATTCCCATTACCAATGCTAATTAGGCAGCAGTAGCAGGGTGATGAAGATGATGACGATGATGACGACGACGACGACGATGATGATGATGAGATGTGAATTAATTCGGCACTAGTTGAAATGTTTTAATTAGTTATAGTGGACTATATAAGCTAGCAATCTGTTATTTATTTCTTTACATTTGTATTTTCTCTCTCTCTCTCTCTCTCTCTCTTTCTCTCTCTCTTTCTCTCTCTCTCTCTGTTTTTTTCTATCTATCTATCTATCACTATCTATCAGTTTTTTTATCAGAAAAAGAAATTATTTAATTGTATTTAATTAATTTAATTTATAATTTTTCATTAGTCCATATTTTCAGTTGTACAAATTTGATACGTTCTATTCTAATTTGTATTCTACATTAGATTGTTTTTGCCCAATCAAACCTTTCCACTACACACACAACATTAACTATTTTAGAAGCATTTGAGAAAAATTAGACGCGATCCATTTAACGTTGTTATACTACAATGTCAGCAGTTCAATAAACTCATCAAAAATCAACCTATTCACTTCAAATTCTTTACTTAAAATAAGTATTTGATACAAGCAATTTATACTGCTGTAGAACTGTTGTGGTAGAAAATTTCGAAGAGTTAGAAGCTGAAAAGTACCAGCCAGGCACCTTAATAATTACACCACACAATCGAGCTGGCAAAATTATATATATATATATATATATATATATATATATATATATATATATATATATATATATATAAATACATCCCCATACATACAACACATTCAAATGTATTCATGCATACATTAGCATAGGCAAACTATTTACTACCATTGAGTTATTTCATTAAAAATAATCGATTTAAAATCTATTATATATATATTATTTGATTTAAGCGTTATTAAATAATAATAATAATAATAACAGTAAATTGTTTTTAAGGATGCCGAATTTAATTGCAATAAATAACGAGATGTAAAATTTAAAAAACTTCGGTAATAAAAATTGTCGTCAAGAGATGTAAACAAAAAACTGTTTCAAACTGCTTCAAGTTAATAATGAATATATTAGAGAAGTCTGTTGAGATTAATTTGAAACAGAAATTTTATGGTGATGGTGAAGAAGAAGACGACGACGATGACGAAGAAGATGATGATGATTATTATTATGGTGATGGGGGTATAGGAATGCTATTGTTGATAAAGAAGATGATAGTGATAAAGATGATGAAGATAAGAGATATGACGTCATACGGCAATTCGCATGAGATGCTGATTATGAAACTGAGCCTTCTATGGAGGTGCTGGCATGGCGACGAACGTTAATATGCTAATTACCATTGACCCAAATAATATTTAGGACAAAAATTATAAGGATGAAAAGATAAAAAATTAATAGAAATAAGAAGGGTTTAACTAGTTAATTTGTCTGTACTACAGAGGAATGGAGATGAGGATGATGTTATTTATAGGTGATGACGATGATGATAATTATTATGATGATGATGATGATGGTGCTAGTGATGATGAAGTTGCTGATGATGTTGTTTACATATTTTCATTGCCGGTGAAAGCAAACGAAATTTCGACTACTCTGCCATTCAATCTTAGAAACCTATGAATATATATCATACTTTTAAAACCTCGCAAATGCATTATATTAGATACATTCAGAGCGAGCTCGTGCAGAAACATGCTCAAAGAATTTATTCATAATTGGTAGAGCGACTGAATGAGCGAGTGAATGAACGAACAAACGAATAAATGAATGAACGAATAAGTGAATTAATGAACGAATAAGTGAATTAATGAACGAATAAGTGAACAAATGAGTGAAAGAACAAATGAATGTATGAATGGACGAATGAATGAATGATTGAGTATATAATTAATGAACTGATGACAAAATAAAATTCAGTAATGAATGAGTGAACAAATAAACGAACGAAAGAATGAATAAATATACAAATGGATGATTGACTAATTACAAAAAATTAATTATTTAATAAATAACTGATAAATTAATTAATTAATTAATTAGAGTAATTGAAATATAGACAGACCCTAGTGTATCCTGCTTTGATCATTGACATCATCCTACTAGCGTCATGATCGGTTATTCTTTTTAAAAAAATTTAATCAAAATAAAATAAATCAATTAAAACTAATATCATTAAATCATTGGATATTCGTTACTCTTTTAATTAATACCATAAATTTCACAAACTTATCGATAACTAATAAATAAATAAATAAATTAATTAATTAATCAGCCAACCAATTAATTAATTAGTAACTAATTAGCAATTTAAAAAATAATTAATTAAAAAATAATAATATAATCCTACTCACAACTGAGACCTAACAGCTACTAATATGGAGTCCTCGCTGAATTTCGATGATCGAATCACTCTTAAATTTTCAAATTTGTTAACTTGGTTAATTTATTAATTAATTAACAAAACCAATTATTCTAATCAATTAAATGACTAGCTAATAAGTCAATTAAATAAACTAAATGCTTGAGTATTTGAGAAGAAATTAGTTATTAAAGTTGAACTATTCAAGTAAGAAAACCCCTAATCATGGAGTAGTTATAGTTGTATTCTTTATTTAACATTTGCACACCAATAACTTCATTGCAGAAAAGTATAAGAAAGAAACAGAGTAAGAGAGACAGAAAAAGAATGAAAGAAAGAGAGAGAGAAGGAGAGAGAGAGAAAGAGAAAATAACGTTTAAAAATATTTAAAATATCATTGCAAAAACATTAAGCATCATTAATAAAAAAATGAATGAATGATGAACGAACGAACGAACGAATGAATGAACGAACGAATGAATGAGTAAACGAGCGAATGAACCAAACCCACTTGGAGCACTCGATGGGATCGATCAGTGAGCCCTGCCTAGCGTCGACGATGACTACATCGAAATAAGTACTCCTGTACTTATCGATGACCTGTTCAACAGAGCTGACCGCAGTACAATGGTACTTCAATTTTTCAGCTGACCTCACGAAGGATTGGCATTGTGGGTTGCTGCTGCTTTTGAAGACGAGGAGGATCTAATGGTGTTGTTGTTGTTGCTGATGATGGTGGTGGGGGTGGTGGTGATATTGTTGTTGTTGTGATGATGGTGATTATGATATTGTTGTTGCTGATGATGGTGATGTTGTTGTTGTTGTTGCTGATGGTGATAGTGATGAAAGTGATATTATTGATGATGATAATGAAGAAGATCTTGATGATGATGTTGTTGGTGATAGTAATATGGCGACGACGATGGCAACTGTAATGGAGATAATATTGTTATGAGAATGATGAAGCTGGCTGGCAAAGCGACGACGATTGTGAATTTACTTCTCTTTTTTTAAATTTCTCACCAGGCATACGATTCAATGGTTGAGATATATAAACAGATTAATAAAATATTTATGGAGGAAACATTCAGGAAAAAAATCGACCCGCATGTAAATCAAAATTGAAGACAAAATGCGGAATAATTTAGGATCAGGCAATAGAAAGGTGTTTGTTTAAGAACGCCTTTGCTTTTTCACAAAAGCACCTAAATAATGTTTTTTTTACATGTTTTCTTTTGCAAAAAGCAGAATAAGTAAGATAGGATTATGAATTTTTCGCGAATACATTATCACACACGCACGCACGCACAAACGCACGTACACACATACACGCACACACGTACACATACACACACTTCTGCATGACACACACAAGCACCCATATTTAATTACATACAAAAGAATAGAGAATAAATTATAATACATTATGACTTATCATTTGAATCACATCATTGTTTACAGACATTTTTATAACCTGAAATGAACTAACATAAAAGGATAATTTATCTTTAACAAATTATCTAATAGGATAAATGAATGAAAGAACGAACGAACGAAAGAACCATTATTAAAATAAAAAAATCATAAAATGGTATAGTTAAATATTTAATTGTAAATTGACTGCTTCAACAAAGAAAAAAAACCCGACCGATATGTGAGATTTCTTCGTTATGAAGTAGTCCAGTGGGAATACTGGCTCCGAATTCTGAAAAAAAAATATTATTTTTATTATTCAATTGTTATTGGTATTATTGTCATTGTTATTAATGCTTTATTGTTTATAGTATTGTTAGTGTTTTTTGTTGTTGGTCGTGTTGGTGTTATCAGCTGTTGTTGCCAGTGGTACAAATGTTACTATTGGTCTTGTTGTTAGCTCTATTTTTGCTTGTATGTAGTTGTTTTGTTGTGACAGTAGTGGTAGTTGTTGTTTTTGTTGTTGTTGTATTTATGCTATTATCGTTGTTGCAGAAGTAGTTGCTGTTTTTAGTTTTAAGCAATTGTTGATGTTGGCTTGTTAAATGTTGATGGTAGTGTTGTATTGTTTCAATAGTCTACAAATTCTATTTGACAATGCTTACATTTAACAATGAATTTTATTAAAAGATATATACATATATTTAAAAGTTAAATAATTTTATAAATCCTGAATTTAAAAAAATGATGAACAGATGAATTGAAAAATTACGTTGTACAAAATTTACGCTTTAACAGAGTTCAAGTCTTACCCAAACGTTATAATTAAGATTCATTTTAATATCAAACTTAAAAATTCCTTTAAAAATTCCCAAAAAAATTGTTCCGTTTATTATTAATTTAGGAGAATACGAAAAACTTAAAGACTCAAACTCTTAATTAATTCAAACGAATATGACATCCACACGGTATATTTATAATGACAATTTTATTGAGAAGGCAGTCAGTAAGTGAGAAGAAAACGCAAAGAACAGTATCTTCATTGTAATTGCGATTCAACACGCCTAACAATATAACCTGATCCAGTAAAAACTTGATACGTCCAACTAGAACGGGTACTGCGCGCGTCACTGATGTTCGTTCGTTCGCTCGTTCATTCATTCATTCGTTCGCTCGTTCATTCATTCGTTCGTTCATTCATTCATTCGTTTGTTCGTTCGTTCATTCATTCATTCATTCATTCATCCATTCATTCATTCATTTTCACCCTTGTTTCAATCAGTCACTCATTCTTCCATTCTTCACAGTTTCTGTAGTAGTTGTCTTGTTGAATATAAACAAACACATAAGTAAATACTTATCCATGCATCAAATTCCCTGCGTAAATTTTGATAAACTTAGTAAATATTTAATTCTATTTTACGGGTTAATCGGCATTTATGAGCAAAGAGATATACATGAAAATAAAAAAAATATATAAAAATTTCTTCAAATTTAACCAAAACTTTTAACTCTTCTAACTTTTCGAAGCATTTGAGGCTTTCAAAATACGTTATTTAAGTCAATTATCCGAGAAACTCATCAGTTCCTTTGCAAAATGTGTTGAGACAATTAACCAGCATATGCAATACATATAACCAAAAATAATAATTAATCATCCAATTATTCAAATTTAAAATTATCATTGTACTTTTGCTATAGAATAAATATTCTGTTTAATATAATAATTTTAACGTATGTGTTATGTTTTAATAGTCATGGTAAATTATGTTAGGTGTAGTATGTTAAATATGATGTATATATATATATATATATATATATATAATGCCAAATTTATTGAGGATAATTTAAAAAAAACACACACATATCATTATACACCATACACACGCACACAAACTCAAATACACACACGCACGCACGCACACAATGTATGTACCAGGCATTCATTCAATGTGTGTTTAACATTAATTCGTCTATAAATTATAATTACACAATACACAATAAATGCACATAAATGCATGAATACTTCAATCAATACATACACATCACACATACAAATACACACATAGACACACACAAACACACACGTACACTTAAGTTATTTCTTTTTATAATTCTTAGAACTATTAGCCAGTCATTCATTCATTAGCGTTTGACAGTTATAAACGCATAGCTTACTGACTTACATTTAAAGCAATAACATTGGCAACATTACCAAAGATATTATATATATATATATGTATATGTGTGTGTGTGTGTGTGTGGGTGTGTGTGTGTGGAAGTGTATGTAAATATAAGTACAGTTATTTTATTTACATTAACTTTTAATTTGTTATCTGTTTGATTTTAGTAAACTTCACTATACGTGGCTCCAAATAGACCCGCACTGTTAAACCGTTTTTGATTTGTCAATTCTTATGCAAGAAAATTCTTATTGATGATAAAAATAAGAAGAAAAAGAAGAATAAAACTATGATTAAAAATAAGAATAATAATTATGTCATTCTATAAAAATAACTCATCTAATGACTTATTGGTTAAGATCAAATTCGAAGAGTTTTAAATTCCTAGAAATTAAATTGTTATAAACCGCTTAAAAACCATTTCGAAAAAAAAATAACTCTTATTGTAATAACTGCCATTTAGGGAAAATGCAATTTCTCTCTCTCTCTTTCTCTCCTTTCTTTTTTTCTGTCAGTCTGTTTGTCTCTCTTTCTCTCTCTCTCTCTCTCTCTCTCTCTTTCTATATATATATATATATATATATATATATATATATATATATATATATATACATGATAGGATATTTAAGATTGTTGAGACAATAATTCCCGTAAGAAAAGATGAATTTGTAAATTTTTTGAAAATTGATAAAGCTTAAAATGTTTAATAGTTTGAAAAATTTGAAACATTTTTTTTTCTTGGGAGAAAAAAAATAATTATAGAAAAAAAATTTCTCTTCACGAGTTAATTTAAAAAAAGGATAAAAGCAGATGATGCCTATGCCATGTTTTGAAATGTGTGTTTGTGTGTGTGTGTGTGCGTGTTTGTGTGTGTACGTGCGTGTGTTTGTGTGTGTATATTTATGTATGTGTGCGTGTATGTGTGTGCTTGGTCTATGTATGTATGTATGTATCTGTGTATGTGCGTGCGCTTGTCTTTAATTAGCTGACTGGCAGGTCACAAAGGCCTGCGGGATTGAATAACTTGTTATTTTAACAGTTAACTTTTAAAATGAAAATGGTTATAAAAGTCAAAACATTTAAGTTATAAACGCTATACAAAATAAATATTGTCATAATAGAATAAAAGAGATAGAATAAAGTTAGATAGATAGACTAAGAAATAATGAGATGCATATTTAAGAGGCTTGATATGAAAGAATCGCTCTGACGTATCGCGCAGGGTGTTGGCAGCTAACAGGAGATGTTCGTACTCTATTGCAACCAGCCCACAAATGCGGTCATCTTGTTTATCAATGATATTATACGTATGTAAATATTCCATATGCCAACACACACTCTACTCTCTTTGTACATACACACATTCACACACACAAGTATAGACATACACACACACACGCTCTGGTACACATACACTCACACATACATATATACACACAAACACGTGCATACACGCAATCGCAAGCACGAACGCACACACGAACGCACACACACACATACACACACATCTTTGATGTTTCATCTCAAAGCCCAAATTGGTGTCCTTAACGAAATTTTACAGCTTGTGTTCCTTATTTTACCTATATCTTTTCTTACATTCACCGAAATTTTTCGACGTGTAATTAATTCTTGCTTAATAAATGTAAGCAATTTATGTAATGATTGTAAAGAATGCCAACATGTATAACACACATATATAACAAACCTAACGATTTTCTGGCATCGAATATAACCTTTGTATAACACACATGTATCACGTTTTACGACATACACATTTAACTCACGTAACGCATGAAATACAGGAAAGTTAGGATATTTAATGTCTGGCATACCAACCAATTAATTTGAGAATTTAGAGCAATACAATAAGTAAGTGTGTGTAAATTATGTTAATAATAATAATAATAATAATAATAATAATAATAATAATAATAATAATAATAATAAATAACAGACCAGAAACGAGCAAAAAACATGAACATGATCAACAAATTCATCCACACACACACACACACACACACACACACACACACACACACACACACACACACAAACACAAAAACACACAAGCACAACAACAATACATACACTAGTGACGTTTCTTTTCTCGTTGACTGTAACACTTTTAGATGACGATTTTCTGACATCGGCGTTCAAAATTGATTGATGTTGATGCTGCTGCTGATGATGACGGTGAAGATGAAGATGATGATGGTGATGTTGATTTTTTTCGGCGTTTGATTTTTTGGTGACGTCATGGGGTTCGGGCTTGGCGCTCATTCCACAACCCATTTCTGATTGGTTGACTCGATCTTTGCTGGGCGGGCTTTACTATGTGGTTTTTGTGATTTGATTGGCTAATTGGTTTTTTGGTTACTTGATTTGATTGGTTGAATGAGTGGCTCGGTAAGTTGGGCCGGTTAAGCTAATCAGACGTTACATCACTTTAAATTGATTTTTTAATTAATAATAAGAAGATTAATTAGATTGACTAATTATAATTATTAGGTAGGATTGATTAGATTAATTAGATAAAATTAAATAGATTTAATTTTATTTAATAGATTTATTTACAATTAATTATTTATAATTAATAAATTAATTTACATCACTTTAAATTGATTTTTTAATTAATTAGATTGACTAATCAGAATTATTAGGTAGGATTGATTAAAATAATTAAATAAAATTAAATAAATAAAATTAATTAGACATCCACATAAGATTAATTTTTATTGAAATTTGTCTGATTGGTAGCTGGCGGTTAATTCCTAATCAATCTTGTC